GGATAACACGCCTCAGCGCGGGATAGCACGCCTCAGCGCAGGATAACATGTCTCACCACGGGATAGCATGCCTCACCACGGGATAACATGTCTCACCACAGGATAACACGCCTCAGTGCGGGATAGCACTCCTCAGCGCGGGATAGCACGCTTCACCACGGGATAACATGTCTCACCACGGGATAAAACGCCTCTGCACGGGATAACATGTCTCACCACGGGATAACACGCCTCTGCACGGGATAGCACGCCTCTGCACGGGATAACATGTCTCACCACGGGATAACACGTCTCTGCACGGGATAACATGTCTCACCACGGGATAACACACCTCTGCACAGGATAGCACGCCTCAGCACGGAATACCATGTCTCACAATGAGGCTCTGCAGACTGATGCAGCCGAAACTGGTGGCAGCTTTGTCGCAGCAGCCTTGACACAGCCCTGTTTGATGGCCCAGAGTCAGACGCATGCTGCCTCCCTAATATGGTCACTGATAGCCCCTGTGTGAGACCAGTGTGTCACTCTGGTGTCACTTACACAACATCCATCAGGGTACCCAAAACACAGCAATTGCGTCATGCAGTATCAACCCTAAAGGGTAACCACACAGAGACCCAAACCTAAACTTTCACAAATCCTACACCCAGCTCCACCTTCAACCCAGCGCACCCACCCGTCCCCTCCAGGGCCACCATACAGGCTCTCCTGCCATCAGTTTGTAGCAGGGCCAACAGTGACCCCATGTGGTTAATTCCCATAAAGGCACTGGGAGAATGGGCCGCCTGCTTCCTGCCCTCTGCCGCCTTGCTCATGCTCCTCTGGGTCAGTTTGTGTGCATAGAGCAGCAGCATCACCTGCACCACTTCAGCTACGGCAATAGGGGGCACAATGGTGAAGAGCAGGGTGACTAACCTCAGCCTGCCATTTCAAACTGTAGGAATGTCCCACCCTCTTAGCCACAAGAAGATATTTAAAGTGACTTTATGCAATAAGATATATACATGTGTAGCTGTATAATTTCATTTGAATTAAAAGGTGAAATTTCATGTTAGAATATAAATACATTGTCAAACACTGGCAGTTAGTATTAACAGCATGTGGATGAGAATGGTTTGTGCGTGTGTGTTTCATGTGACACTGCACACAGCCGTGTGGGGATACGTTCTTAGCTCTGCAGTGGCAGCCTTCCCGAATCCAGCTTTCATTTTACTGTTCCTCCTCGTGTTACCAGGCCCAGGCCTTGCATGGCGGGACACCCCACGCTCTGCAGTGCCACGTTGCCGTCACTCAGCCTATCGAAGGAGCCTCCACAGACTGGTGGGGTGAGATGATTCCCACAGGCCTGAGCGAGTCGGTGTCACTGCGCTCCCTGCAGCCCCAGGGCACAGAGAGCATAGTGATTCACACCATGGCACCCTGTCAGTCCCTTACCCTGCATGTCCCTTAGGGAACTCACAGAAAGAGACAGCTCAGAGACAGGAAGTGCTCTCTGATTGGGTGGGAAAATGGTGTTAAAATTAGGGGGAGTCTCTTTCTTTCCTATTGCTGTGTCATTACGAATCCGGCGGCGGGCCCTTGGGGAGTGGCTGACGGCTTCCATTACAACAGGAAGGGGCCCTTTCCAAAGGGATGTGACAAAGACACCTGCTACGGAAGTCTGATTAAAAGGAGCCGAGCAGCCTGGTTTACAATATGAGAGCCGTACACTGGGAGACCCAGAATGCAGCACGACAGGAGAGCCGTACACTGGGAGACCCAGAACGCAGCACGACAGGAGAGCCGTACACTGGGAGAGCCAGAACGCAGCACGACAGGAGAGCCGTACACTGGGAGAGCCAGAACGCAGCACGACAGGAGAGCTGTACACTGGAAGAGCCAGAACGCAGCACGACAGGAGAGCCGTACACTGGGAGAGCCAAAGCGTAGCATGACAGAAGAGCTGTACACTGGGAGAGACAGAGTGCAGTCCGATAGGAGAGCCATACAGTGGGAGAACTGTATACTGGGAGAGCTAGAACATAGCACAACAGGAGAGACGTACAATGTGAGAGCTGTACACTGGGAGACCCAGAATGCAGCACGACAGGAGAGCCGTACACTGGGAGAGCCAGAACGCAGCACAACAGGAGAGCCGTACACTGGGAGAGTCAGAGCGTAGCATGACAGAAGAGCTGTACACTGGGAGAGCTAGAACATAGCACAACAGGAGAGACGTACACTGTGAGAGCCAGAATGCAGCACAACAGGAGAGCTGTACACTGAGAGAGCCAGTGCATAGCATGACAACAGAGCTGTAAACTGCGAGAGCTGTACACTGGGAGAGCCAGAACGCAGCACAACAGGAGAGCTACACACTGGGAGAGCCAGAGCACAGCACAACAGACCAGCTGTACACTGGAAGAGGCACACACTGGGAGAGTCAGAGCATCTTAGCAATTGGAGGGGTGGGAGAGGTAACACTGTTCTACAGGGCTCACATGGTTTTACTGGTGTACAGTGGAAAAACATCTTAAACTTTCCACATGGAGAGATCATCAGCAACATGGCAAAATCATTACGGGGGAGACATGGAGCCAGTGTCTCTGCCCTAACGTCAGAGCTCATACTGGCACCCTAACCCTAACATCAGAGCACAAACAAGCAGTCCAACCCCGACCCTAAAGTCCACACTCTCCTAAGATACAGTACCAGACAACAGCCGCTTCTGAAGGTCAAGGGACTGAATCTGAAACTCGGTCAGCCTTGCCCACAGAGCTGCTTCCTCCCAGTTCTGCCATAGCCTGCCCTGGTGTGGGCCAAGGTACCCTGATGGCTGCACACTGAACAGGAAGTTCTGCTGCTTATTCGCACTGCCACTCCACACGCCATATCACATGCAGGTCTATATATGCTCCTGAGCCAGAGCCATCCTTCACTCTCAGCCAACGGGATCAAACTACTCACCTTTCTCACCCGCAGCTCCATGGCTGTGTTTTCAGTTCTGTACTTGCACAGTGCCTCTCCCCCCCCCACATGGGCGCCTTTGGCTTGATCCCCCAGCCTGGAGGTGGTCTCTCCCAGTGAGCGCTTGCTGTGATCTCCTGTGGAGTGTGTGGTCTCACTGGAGGAGCGCGGCTTGGCCGACCAGCTACTCTCATCTCCGCTTGGGCTCTGTGCTTGACTGGGGGCCTCCCAGAGCTCTCCTGCCACGGGACTTTGCTCCTTTTCCATCGTTGGGCCATCAGCTCCCTGGAGACAGAGCATCTCAGCTCCTGTCTCTACTCCATCGCATTCCCTTGGTGTCCCCGGGTCCTCTGTCACTTCCTGATGTATCTCGACAGTTAGTGGGTCACTATCTGTCACTTTACAGCATTTCCGACCTGTCTGGTCCTCCAGCGCATCGCTTGGGTTCACCATGGTGATCACCCTGAGATCTGCATCCCCGGTCTCGCGGTACTGTTCCCCACTGGGGGAGCCTCCATCCTTCCCGATGGCGCCCATGTCCTGCAGGAGTTCCCAAGTGCTAGAATACTTCTGGTGGGAGGTTCTCCGGAGGCAGCACTCTGAGGTCTTTGTGAGCTCCTCCCCATTGGAACTCAGCATCCCGGTGATGTCACAGGGTTCTGTGCTTCCGGGCTCAACCCCGGCATTCGCGTCCATCCGGGCATATCCACTGCATTCGGCATCAGCAGCCCAGCGCAGCCCTGCCGAATCCTTACTGCTCTGGGGAACATCAGAATCGTCAGCAGTTTCTGTTGAGCCTGTAGCGCCCCCAGCTGGTGGGAGCACATAAACAGGATCTGCCGTCCTGTCACACTGGAATGAGTGTGACACCCGGCACGCTGACCTGTCCCCCGGCGTTTCAGTGTCACCTTCAGATACACCTTCCTCCTCCTGAGCACTGCGGTGAGGTCGGCCCCCCGCCTCTGTAATAAAGCCATTCAGAGTCCCAGCTTGGTTGACCCTGCAGGAAACAGCAGGATCCACTTCTCTAGGGGGGGCCCATTCAGCCATACCAGCAGGGGCTCCCCTCTCACATGAGATCTGCCCCCCCACAAGCATGAACCAGCATCGCTCAGGGTGCGGACTGAGGCCGTGCCCCGGTAGAGAGGCACACCGCCCCCGACGCCCCTGCCAGGGGCATGTGGCTGCAGGGGGGGCCCTGTGACAAGCACAAATGTCCAGGTCATCGTAACTGTACTGCAATCCGGATCCAGGCTGCTCCAAGCGTCTGGTCTCCATGGCGACTGGCATGGTCACTATCTTCCACCTGCCGTTTCTGACGTTGCGCAGTATCCTGTCGAGATGCTGTCAGGATACGGGTCTAGTCCAAGCTGCCCATCTGTAGGGGAACAGAGGTGTGACAGAGGGGCATTAGCAGGGCCATGGCTCCATCTCCTGAGGATTAAAGATAAGTGGCTGTAGTGACCCTGCTTTACTCGGGACCTCGGTAAGTGAGATTGTATCTAATTAGTAGCTGCCAAATCCCAGCCCTGAACCACTGACCCCTCTCCTCCCCCTCCGGAATGAAGCAAACAGCAGCACTGCGAGAAAAATGTAAACAGAGCGGGTCTGTATAGAGGAAGCTAGGGCAGCAGGCCTCACAGGACATCTTAGCAAACATGGCAGACCCGCTCCCCATGGTTAGCGCATAGCGGCAGGCCTGCACCCCATGCAAAGGGCACTGCCACGCCACAATAAACCCACTCCCCACGCGGAACGTACCACAGCAGACCCATTCCTCACATCCAGTGCACTGCCACACTGCAGCAGACTTGCTCCCCAGGCCGAGCACGCTGCGGCAGACCCACACCGCAGCAAACCCGATCATCACATCCAGCGCAACTCCATGCCACAGCAGATTCCCTACCCATGCCGAGCCCGCTGCGACAGACCTGCTCCCCACCCAAAGCGCACCAGCTCTCCGCAGCAGACCCAGTCATCACGCCCAACGCAACACCACGCCACGTTAAGATGGGTCTCAGGGTAGTACCTACGTAACAGTCATGTCCCTGTCATGCTGCGTCTGCCTGTTGCCTGAGAGACATGAATAAAGTAAGAGGAAGAGCCAAGTAAAAGGAGGAGATTAATAATCTATTTACAAAGCGCAGGAGTCCAGTTGGACCAAGAGACCAGTCGAAGAATCCATCTAACATATCCACACACCCACATATCCACACACACACACACACACACACACCCACCCACTTGGTCACAGTCTGTCTTCACCTTTTCTGAAGAGCTCCCAGAACCTCTGTAGTGTGGCATGTAGATGTGGAGAAGCCATCACTCTGATATCGGGGAAGAGTTGTCTCTGGTCTCCGGCTGCAGGTCCACCATGCCTCCTCGCCCTGCCCCGCCCCATCCCAACCCGATCGCACCCGGGCCCCGGGGCCGGCCGGCATCGTGGTGGCTTGCGTCCCAGCTTCCCCGTGAGCCTCGGCGCTAGGTTTGCGGCTCCTTCCCCTCCGTCTCCTCGCAGCCGCTGGCTCTCCCGCACTGGAAGCCCTGCGCTCTCTGTCCTGCTTTTGATTAGAAACAGACGGGCTGCCTTGTGGAAGTCTGGCCGTGGGCCAAGCAAGATCGTGACGCCCTACTGGTCATTCCGGAGTGTTCTGAGCGTTGCGGCGCAGCTCTACGTTGCCTGCATCCACCACGCAGCAATACGCATTTACAGACGTTCTCAGGCAGCGTGCCTGAAGGGATAAGAACCTTCCGACTTCACACGGCATTTCTCAGCCAGGAGAATGACCAAGCTGCACTGCCTTTTTTTAAATGCAGGGGTTTTTTTCGGCACTGGGTGCGTGCTGCTCCCTGCGCCTGGCCCAGGCCGCACTGGAATGTCTGCACCGATGATGGAGATTCCTCTCTAATTACTGCCGACGGGCGATCGGCTGGGCCGCCAGTTTGAGTACCAAGGTCGCCCGTGTGATGGCACGGACTGCAGTTGCCACGAGACTGACAGCCTCTCGCATGTGCAGCGGGGGTCCCTGAAGGGCTCTGAACCATCCAGACATCCATTGGCCCTCCATGGAGGGGTCTAGAATGACGACAAAGTGCCCAGGCTGGCCTGTCATCGCTCATCGGCTCCAGGGACCGGATTTACCCATGGGAACCTGGCGGCTTTGAAATGGACGTGAGAGGGCCGCGGTTCTGCATCTGCTCTAAGGGCCTTTAACCACGGACCTGATGCGCGTTTCTGTGGGGGTGGGGGTGGGGGTGGGGGTGCCTCAGATATAGTCCTGCCAGCCAAAAGAGCGCAGGGCCATGTTCCGGCACGTGAGTCAGTGAGCGTGAGCACACTAGCACTCGTGCTCACGCCCGGCCTCACCACGGCCCCACGAGCCCTCGCTGGCTCAACAGGAAGTGGCCTCACATTCCTGACCTACATCATTTATTAGTGGAAAATTCCACTGCATGCTGGAGAGCTGCCGCTCACTGTCGCCCCCAGAGGATGTGTTCGGTACAGCGGACATAAAAATGTGTATTACAGTTGAATACACTGTGTGCGCTTGGACCCATGGCGACTCTGCTTACTTCCCGTCTGTGTATCCCTGACTACCTGCCTAACTGCTAGTTAATCACCTGGCTGCTGATTCTCACTCTCATTAAATTACATTTCAGTAGCAGAGCAGGCCAACGACTGACTAAGCCTGTATGTTTCTGAGATCTTTCAGGAAAGTGGTGCTCTGCGTGAAGGCACAGAACCACATTTATTCTGCTTATCCTGGAAATGTCTATGGCTATGAAGTCACCACACACACTTGGCCAAAAATAAAAAAAAAAAACCTTCCAAATTGTATATTTAAATTATGAGTCATAACCCATAATAGCACTAAAATGTAGTACAAAATCCAGTACAGAGTAATGGATTCCCCTTCTTTAACAGTAGCCATTCAGAGCCATATCTGAAATGTCCGACATAATCAGCTGTTTAGAGGAAGTTAAACCCTAAAAGTCTTTAAAATCCATGTCAGGACATGCTCTGAGTTAATGAGCACTGGCTGCAAACAACCTAGTATAGTTCACAGGATCCTGTTAGTGAAATAACTAACAGTACACGGGGCTGAGTGTACAGTGCACGGGGCTGAGTGTATAGTACACTGGAATGAGTGTACAGTGCACGGGGCTGAGTGTATAGTACACTGGAATGAATGTACAGTGTACAAGGCTTCGAATACAGTGCACTGGAATGAGTGTAGTGATGTTAGGATTGTGTTACTCACTGCTCCTCGGTGGTTCTGATGGACCAGGGTTGCTGGGTTTCCCATCTCTGTGTTATGATAACACAGTGTGCTGTGAGGACGTGTCATTAATACAGACCGCTACGCACTGACAGGGGGGCCGCTCTGTAACCACCACTTTCACAGTCAGGCTTAGAAACACTGCGTCATCAGAACGTGATGTGCGTGGGTGTGTGTGGGTGTGCCCGAGTTCATACGCAGTGCTGTGAGTGTGGGAACAGGATGTGGGGGTCAGCAAAGATCAGCTGCGACACATTCGACCCAGAAGCGATCTCATCTTTTCTCCTTGTGCTGCTGGGATACTTCCGGCAAGAGCCCCTCACGCCTGGGACGGCGGCGTAAGCGTGAGGACGGTGCCCAGCACTGCTGCCCTGGCATGAAGTCTTCCCCAAAGGGCTACCCGCACGCTCCTGCTCTGCTTTCACATATATCAGCCCTCCATTCTTGGCCAGACTCTCTCAGGTGGAAAGAGTCAGACGCCAACAATCACACACTCCACTACCCGTTTCCAGTGAGGCTTTCGCGGTGTGGCTGCTTTGATTCTCGCAGGCAGGTCTGGGGCACGGGAGCAGCATGTCCAGGTTGTTAGGTGACAGCCTGACTGACCATCAGGGGTAACAGGCCACAGGCAGGTACCTGCTCTCAACTTCTCATCAATCACTGGTTAGTCCATGCAGTGCTCTCGCTGGGGTGGGTGCTGGAGAGACAAGTGGTGTTTTCCACCAGCCTGCTGTCACTCCATATGGAACATGAAGAATCTGTAATTAAGGTAGAAATCGGTGAAAGGAGCATTAGGAAAATTATTCTCATATCCCAATGCAGAGCAGGGTGCCGATTAGGCCGAGGAGGATGTAGGGGACAGCAGGCGAGTGTCAGATTAGTCGCCACTGCCCCCATGCCCGCGAGCAGCCCATCACATGCAGGGCAGCGCCACTGTTGTCCTTGGGTACCGTTACTACAGGAAATGCCTGGCACAGAGCGTCACTGGTGTGGGCTAGCAGGTCCCAGATCAGCCGACCGCACAATGATCTAAACAGCCTCATATAATGGCTCATTGTATTACATCAGAGCTGCCATGTCATGTTTGTGCGGCAGAGTTAACCGTATGTATGTGTGTGGGGCTTCAACTCCTCTGACACTATGTTCCCTAAAAAGCACCATAGACACGGACAGCACACAGCACTGGGGGCAACACTGGCTCCAGGATTCTTACTGGATGGATCAGCCCTCACAGTCACAGGGCTGACCCCCCCCCCCCCCCCCCCCCCCCCCCCCCCCCCCCC